ATTGTGCTGTTCCATCAGGCTCCACTGCAAAATATAAGTTCTAAAACAGAAATTAAATTCACTTTTTCTGAGTTTAAAGCCTCTGCACACACCATCATCCACTCACCTATCTGCTCATCTTGTATTTACTAAGCACACCCCAATTTATTAGGAAATAAAACCCTGGAGCAATGATAGAGATATGAATGAGAAACTATGACCAAATATTCACCTAATAGTTAATTGATTCCTTAATTGTTACTTAGTTCCTGTCCTATTTTTCCTGATGTTGTTTTCTTTTATTTATTCCCAACTTTGTATTTTTTAAAATAATCTTGTTTATTTATGCAACTTTGATTTGGAAGTTATGCATTTATTGGTGTATTTCTGTTACTTTCTTGGAATGTTTTAAAATTTTAACATATCAACTTTGGGAAGTCCAAAATTAGTTGATAGTTTTCTCCTTCTTCCCCATTAGTATATGAAACTTAGATTACCACATCTATCACAAAGTATAAAACAACCATTTTAGGGATTCTAAGAAAGGCACATTCACTATGGTGCTGGTGTCTTAAAACTCTTAATGCATTTATCCAGGCTTATCCGACCTTTTGTGTAATTGAACTCAGTTAGGCATCGGGTCCTTATGTACATATGGGTTGGTTTCTTCATTCTCTGTTTTGCTCCTTTGGTTTAATTATTTGACTCTGTGACAAAACCATACTATTTTAAGTATACTTTGCCTTTGAGATTAAGTAGAATTGTTGATGTAGCAAATGTTCCAGAATTGGTCTTTATTCTGAAAATCATCTTAAGCTAAGTCCATCTTTTTTCCTTTTTGCATTTGTGTGTAAATTTTAGAGAAACTTCTTTCAGGTTGAACTCTTTATTAAAATTTCATTGCTTAATAACTAGTTAAAAATCATTGATATTGTCTTAATATTAAATTTATTTTTGCATTGGTTGTTACTGATGCAAATAATTTTTTTATTATTGATCATTTCTTCAGAAAACTATCTGAAGAGTCTCATTAAGGATACTGTTTTGTCTGTAGAATACAATTTTTCTGTGATTTTTCTGTTAAATAATCTTTGGCAAATAACAGCAATTTTGTCTCTTTTCAATCCTTGATCTCATTTCTTTCTGTGACTTCTTACACAGTCAATGGTTAGAACCTCTCAGACAGTGTGAAATAGTTATAGGGAACATGAGCAAATATTTCCCACAATGAAATGAAAAATTCTTCTAATGTTTCATTACTAAGAATATTTTTTTCTGTGTATTTTTGCCAGAATCCTTTTATCTGGTGATGGGAATTTTCTATATTTATGAAAGTAGCACCGTTTTGTAAACACAAATGAACTTATAATTTTCTCATTTCTCCTGACATAACCATGTATTCTTTTCCTTTTTTGAAAAAAAATCTGATGCTACTCTATAATCTTTGCATTTCCGTGATACATTTGGTCCATCTACATGCATACTTTCTTATATTTAGGTTCTTAAGAATGATTGGGCTATAATTCTCCTTTTGCTGATTTTCTTTCCAGGTGTCAGTGGGAAGCTTATGTAAAACACATCTACGTGAATAAATTAGAAATTATTCCTTGAAGAATCAATAATATTTCCTTGCACAAAATATGGACAGGTATACTGTTGTTTTAATTTGTTAAGGGTTTACTGATCATTTTTATCACCTACCTCTCTACTTGAATCACCACTGGTAAAATGTGTTCCAGAAAATTTTTCACTTTATCATGTATACCTTTGTAATTTAATCTCAAATTTTATAAATGTATATACTTCTAATGAACTGTTGATAGAAGTAGTATCAATTGAGACAATTTTTTTTATTTTAGTCTTTTCAAAAGACTCAACATTTTTGTCTTGTAAATCACTATTCTGTTTTCTCCCTTGATCACTATTTTTTCTGCTTTTGTATTTATGAATTCATGTCTTCTCTTTCCCATTTATCTTGCTCTTAATTTGCTCTTACTTATCTTAACCTTTGCATTCTTTTAAAATGAATGATCTTGTTTTGTTTTGCTTTTTTTTCTTTCAAATTTTGAATTGGAATTTGTACATTCATTGGTGTATTTCCATTCCTTTCTCAGCATGCTTTAAAAATTCAACATATCAATTTTTTACAAATCAAAAGCTAATTAATAGTTATACCTCTTCCTCAATAGTATAAGGAGCTTAGATTGCCATATCTACCACATAATTTATTTTTAGTTCAGTATTTTAAATATACCTTGTCTTTGCTTTATTACCTTCATTTTCTCAGATAACACTTATCTATATTGATTCACATGATTTTCAATTTTCCTCTCAAACCATTTTTTCTTGAATTTCAGGCCTTCTTTGTGGGTTGCATTTTCTCTTTCTTTGTTTCTTTAAAGTATTGAGTTTGTGAGCTTTTTTCATTTTGTTGGGTTTTTTTACATGTTTTCAGTTTTCTGGTTGGAGGTTTATCTGTTATGTCAGAATTATTGGAATGGCTTATCCAGTAGTAGCTTCCTGGTACAAATTTAGTTTATCATTGCTCCCCTCCTGTTAAAAGGTACTCATTAACTTGAGTTCTGCAAGTGTGACTCTGTATTAATTGATTAAATACAGTTGGCCCTCTGCATCTCCTAGTTCCACATGCACAGATTCAACCGAGGGATTGTTGAAAATATTCAGAAAAAAAATGCATCTGGATTGAAGGTGTGTAAATGATTTTATTGTCATTTTTCCCTAAACAGTACAATATGACAACTTTTCATGACATTTATAATGTACTACAATTGTAAGTAATTGAAAGACAATTTAAAGCATACAGGAGGTTGTGCATAGGTTATATGCAAATTCTACTTGGTTTTATAAGAGAGACATGAACATCTGAAGATTTTCTGTCCATAGAGGTCCTGGAACCAACTCCCCATGGATACTAAGGAATCATACATTTTTTTGGGAAAAAAAAATCTAAAATACAAACTAATCATGTCACTATCTTTTATAAAGGTTCCCAGTAGGATCTCTATATCTTTCAGCATAAAGAACAGAGTATTTCAGGGCCTCTTCTATGCCAATCATTTGTCCTCATCTCATGCATGTTCCTCAAACTTTATTCTTAAAACTTCTGACGACTTTCTGGCTGGTGTCGTAACATTGAGTTCCACTTACACCTTTACACCTCCTCATGAGATCCCCACCTGAACAGCTCCTTTCTTTTCGTGAATGTCTAATGAACTCAAGTTACTTCAAAGTAAGTTCTACCATTTTTACAATGGCTTTACTAGCTAGTTCTTGAATAAAATAATGTTCGCTTGCAAAAATGAATTTATGAACTGATAAATATGTGAAAGCCAATTGACCAGAGCTCTATAGACTTCTTTCAATCAGATAAAACCAAAGTTTTAGAACTTCAACTAATCATTTAAAAATGATCTATGTGTGACATCTAATTTCATGTCAGCTATTAATATTTATTATAATTATATCCTGGAAGATTTATATACACAATTGAATTCCCCTAACAAAGCAAAGACTGAGATTGAATTTTCTCCATTTCCTGAAGAGACAGATGAAGCTCAAAGTAGATATTTTACTTTCTCAGGATTATAGAGTTAATTGGTGGCAGAGCCAACATTCTAATGCAATCTTGGCCAACCAAAAGCTATAATTTTTTTACCAGCTTGCTGAATCTTTGCATTATCTTATGGTAGTACTGACAAGATACCGGGAATACTGTGCCTTCACCGCTAAGATTCCTGGTCAAGCACTTATTGCCACAGACTTAGGTTCAGTGGTGCTAATTTGAAAAGATGATATGAAATAATTTTTTGCCTCTGGGAACTTATCAACAGACTAGCTTTAGTTAGACTAAATATTATCATATCATTGGCATTTTTCATTATATTCTGTATTTATCAATGAACTAGTGCTATTTTTTTAGTTTTTCTTTTCTAGGCTGTGAGACAACCAGTCACGTTAATAAGAATTCAGATGCTGAAAGTCAAATAAATAGAACTTAAATTCCTAAATTTGTGGGAGGCTGAGTCAGGAGGATTGTGAGTTCAAAGCCAGCCTCAGCAACTTAGTGAGGCATTAAGCAACTCAGAGAGACCCTGTCTCAAAATAAAATATTTAAAAAGGGCTGGGGATGTGGCTCAGTGGTTAAGCATCCTTGGGTTTAATCCCACATACCAAAAAAAAGAAAAATCTAATTTTTCAATTACTCGTTCTATTTTATGTTCTTACCTGCTCAAAACTTTTCTGTTATCATTTCTAAATGAGGCAAAAAATATTGACAGCAAATAGTTTTTTATAGAACTTATTTAAAAAGTGCTTTGACACAAGACCTGCCATGGAGTAGATTCCAGTAAACTGACTTACTCCTCACTTTGCCCTGTAAACTGTGACCTCTTCTGAAAGTGTAGATCCTGGAGTACTGTGTAAAAATAAATAAATAAATAAACCCCAAATGAAGTTTCTGGGTGCACCTAACAGCACTCATAAAGAGACTTGAAGTCTAGCACTGTAGGAAGCCTCGTGACTGCAGGTTTTAAGTTTTATAATTGGGGAAGAGCTCGATCTTTTCATTTTGCTCTTTTTTCTTCATGTTTAATCTTATTATTCCAGGTCCTTTGCATTTCCATGTGAATTTTCAAAAGATAAGTATATGGATTTCTGCATGAACAGTTGTAATTTTGATAGGGATCTCACTGAATCTGTATATCGCTTTGAGGATTACTAGCATCTTAGCAATGCTTAGTTTTCCAGACTCTGAACATAGCATGTCTCTCCATTTATGTACTATTTCTTTGTTTTCATCACAGTTTTGTAGTTTTCAATGTATATATCAGATATTTCTTTTGTTAAATTTATTCACAGAAACCTTTTTTTCAAAAAATATTTATTTTTTAGGTGTAGATGGACACAACACAATGCCTTTATTTTTATGTGGTGCTGGGGATTGTACCCGGGTCCCGCCCTACTGGACAAGCACTCTACCACTGAGCCACAATCCCAGCCCCAGAAATCTTTTTTTGATACTGTAAATTGAAGTGTTTTCTGGACATTATGCTCAGATTATTTATTGTTAATGTAAGGAAACAGAATTGATTTTTCTCTTATTCTAAAAACTTCCTGGACTCATCACTGATGACTGTTTAGTGATTCTTTTGGATTTTCTACATATAACAACATGTCAATTACACCTATAGGCAATTTTATTTCTTCCTTTCCAGCCAGTAAGATGTTTAACATTCCTACTAAAATTTTCTATTCTATTACTGGATAGAAGTGGTGAGAAAAATCTTGTCCTCAAATTTAGAGGAGAAGAATGTAGTCCTTCACCATTAAGGACAACTTTGTCTGTGAACTGTTCACGGATGCTCTTTACCAGCTTAAGGAAATTAATTTCTACTCCTTGTTTGTTGGGTGCTGTGGTGAGGGTGGAGTGTTGGAGTCTGACAAGTGGGTTTTTTTTTTTTTTTGCGTTTATCAGATGATCATATGTGCTTTATCCTTTATTCTATTGAAATAGTGTATTACATTAATTTTTTTAAAATATTAAATGGACCTTATCTTTACAGGGCTAAATCCTACTGTTCGTGGTTTCTAATCCTTTTTTCATGTCCCCAGATAACACCCAGCCAGTATTCCCTGAAGATTTTCCTGTCTGTATTCCATCAATACTGGCCCTAGTTTTCTGCTCCTAGGATGCCCTCATCTGCCCCTGGATCAAGGTATATCAGACTCCTGGAAGCTTTCAGAAATGCTTCTTTTTCTTCTTGTGTGGAAGAGTTTGTGACGGGCTGCTGTTAATTCTTTAAATATTTAACAGGATTTTCTAATGCAGCCGTCTGGTTCCAGGCTTTTCTCCGTGGGAAGTTTTTGGATTGCTCATTCAAACTCTTTTTCTAAGTAAACAGAAATTCAGACATCTTATGTATTTTTAAATTAGTTTCTGTGACTGTTTTTCTTTCTGAACTTTGAAAAATCTCCTTGTTTAATATTTGTGGACACACAAGTGTTCGTGGTCTTCTTTTATAATTCCTTTATTTTTTTTCCTACAAGTTTGATAGGGCTGTCCTATCTTTAATTCATGACTTTGAAACTTTTGAATCTTTTGTCTTCTTTTTTCCAGTCACTGTCTGGAAAACTCAACACTGTTGAGAGGGCAGTAAGCTTCCGGTGGAACCCCAGACCAACTTAACCCTGACTACGTTCAAGCTGTGTTTTTCTTCACAGAAGCTCACATATTAATCCTAAAAACAGTTCATATGGCAACGGAAGGACCCAGAACAACCAGATCAATTATGAAAAAGAAGAAAAAAAGTTGTAAAAATTGTAAGACTTACTCTAAAATGACGGCAACCAAGACAGTGATACTGGCACAGACAGATGCCAACAGCAGGATGGAATTAAGCCTTTATCTGTGGAAAATAGACCTTTACATTTATGATCAACTGATTTTTTTGAGCAAGTGTGCCAAGATAATTCAATGAGCAGAAAAAAGTAGCCTTTTTAATAAATAGTGTTTGTGGGGAGGGTGGTGGAGAGAAAGAAAAAGAAGAAAGGAAAAGAAGTTTTGCCACTACCTCACACCATACCATAAACAAAACAAACTCAAAGAATCACAGACCCACATTTAAGAGCTAAATCTACAATTGTACTAGAAGAAAATATGTGAATAAATATTGAGGAACTTCTATCAGGCAATATTGTCTGAGATACGTCACCCAAAACAAAGAGACTAAAAAAAATTAGATACAACTTTATCAAATTTAGAAACTTTGGGCTGGGGAATATAGCTCAGTTGGTAGAGTGCTTGCCTTTCATGCATAAGGTTCAATCCCTGGGTTCAATCCCTAGCACCACACACATACACGTGTGCACACCCACACACACAAAAGAGCATAACTTTAAAAAAGAAATAGAAACTTTGTCCTTCAAAGGATGCACTTAAGAAAAAGAAAACATAACCTCAGAATAGGAGAAAATAGTTTCAATCATACTGTGTCAGCCAGTTTTTCATGGCTATGGCCAAATTACTTGGCAAAAAAAATAGAGGAGAAAAGTGTATTTCAGAGGTCTCACTTCATGGTACAGCTGACTTCATTTCTGTGGACCTGAGATGAGGCAGAACATCATGGTGGGTGGGTGTGGCAGAGGAAGGCTGCTCAGATCCTGGCAGCCAGGCAGCTGAGGAAGAGAAACCCAACCAAGTCACCTCCAGTGACCTTATCAGCTATCAATGGATTAATCCACTGTTGAGGTCAGAGCTCTAATTTTTGTCAAAAAGTCCCACCTCTCAAACCTTGGTGAATTGGAGACCAGGCTTCCAACACCTAAAGTTTTAGGGACATTCCAGTTCCAAACTATAACACATATATTTGATAAGGAACTTGTATCCAGAACATATAAAAAACTCTTACAAATCAACAAAAAGGATAACACAATTCAAAAATGGGAAAAGATTTGAATAGAAATATACTTACCTAAGAAAAGAGAAAACATGAGTCCATTCAAAATCTTTTTTAATTTTTATAGCAGTATTAGTCATAATAACCAAAAATGGAGGCGAGTCAAATGAACATCCGTGTATTGATTGGTATATAAAAAGTGGCAAATATATTTGTACACTGGAATATTACTTGGCAATAAAAATGAAGTACTGGTAAATGCTACTACATAGCTGAATCTTGAAAACTATGTTTAAAAGTCAGTCTTGAAAGACCAGATATTATATAATTTTACTAAAATGAAATGTGTAGAATGGGTATAGAGACAGAAAACAGATGAATGGAAGCCTGGATTTAGCAGGGAGGTCAAGAATGAGGAATGATTAATAATGAGTATACATTTATTCTGGAGGTAACTAAAATATTCCAACATTAGGTAGCAGTGAAGGACACATAACTATTTGGATACACCAAAACACACTGAACTATATACTTTAAATGACCAAACTTGATAGTAAAAGTATGTCTCGAGCTATTTTAAAGGACAGAGTCTTCCTCTAGAATATTGGTAGCCTGTATGTGTCTCAGACTACACTATCTCTAAGTGACACACAGTGCTTCTTCCTGAGACACTATCTGAAACCCATCTTATTTTCCTGCAAGCCACTAGGATTCCATGCCTTGTTTCTCTGTAAGGGCTATTTGAGAGCAGTAGCTCTAGATTTCTGACAGATATTGCCATACATTCCAGCCAGTATGTCTGACAAACTGATTTCCTTGTGGGGCAGATAAATGACAGGCCCACTAAAGTAATTCCTGTGAACTGTCACTATAAATTAATGTGTACAGAGAACACAGTCCACTCAAAAAGGACAAGTAACAGAGCTCATCATATCCTGGTGGGTTGTACATCAAAGTTTATTACATATATTTTAATATGTTCATTATATACCTAGATTTGTGTACATAATCCATGTGGGTAAGGGGATGAAGCTTGGGGATATATTTATGCAGAAATGAAGGAGCTGGTCTCACTACAAATGTATAAGTATTGAGAACAAAAATGGATTTAAAGGTTCATTTAGGGGGAAAAATTGATTTTTTACAATTCTGTCAAGAACATTTTTTAAAAAATGGTCTAATATAACTTGCTTCATTATCCAATCTAAAATAATTAACTTACTGATATTTACTTTTGTCCCAAACAGGCATTGCTATTTGTACTCTCTAAGTGCAACTACTAATAAAAAGCATGATATTACTGAGTTCATACGGGAAATATAGCTTTTATATTTGCAATGTAAGTATGTGAACTCCATCAACTATACTTGTTGGGTATGGAAAGAAGAACTAAAATCTGAGGATTCCGACATTTTCTCTCTTCACCTGTCAGAGCCATTTCCATCATGTTTCAAGTGACAGGGGTAAACTAATGGTGTATTCAGAGTATAAACCACATTTCCCTATTGTTATTGTAGGGCATCAACCTGCTTCACCAGAGCGCTCAGTGAAAGCTTTGCAGCTCTTAATTTCTTGGGAGGAAACTGTCGCCCTCTGTCCACCAACGTACAAAAAAAAAAAATCTTCAGTTAATCACTCCTAATTTTATGTCTACACTGTGCGTAGTAGCTATTGCCCCCCACCTCCTTCCCAATCAGCTTGGGATTTTACATACGTAGAAAGTGGTACGAGACCATGGACTCACTGAGACAAGAGAGCCTGGAGTAAAAGGGATGGAGGGGGGAGAGGAGAAGGAGGGAAAGAAGGAAGGAAGAATGGATTGCATTAAAGTGCTAAACTTTTCTGTACCTTACCTGTAATACAGACATCCATGAAAATTTTGCATGAGCTCCATCTTAATTTATTTGTAGAGAGGTGTCCTAAAATAACTCAACATGATAAATAACCCTAAAGATGTTAGGGGACCAGGAAGTGTCAAGGGCTTTGATGTGAGAATCCTGGGTTTGTCTCTAGTCCGTGCATCTTACAAGTTCAGTGTCCTTTGGGCAAATCCTTTATTAACTTCTAAGCTTTAGACTCTTTCTTTGTAAGATGAAGATAACAGCTATCTCCCAGGATTACAACCAAAGCAATAATATAAATGAATCATCTAGAAAAGTATCAGATACCTCATTGTTCAATAAAACATCTATTGTTATTATTGAGAAACCTGAATCTGTAGTGGGATAAAGAGGTCTCCTCCAATTTCCAATTAAAATGTGAATGAAGACACAGGGAAGAAGAAACAGAAGATTAACTACAGAGTCAATTAGAATGGACCCAAAGCCTAATATTAAAATAAGGAATTCTTCCTCTGATTCTAATGAGTTTAACCAGATGGAGAAAAAAATCTACCCAGACTTCCTTTTATGAAACAGATTAACTAAAAACAGAAAGGGGCTTTTCCTTCTGTAGTGTACCCTCAAGTTCAAGGACTGCCCAGTGTTGGAACCAATCTGAAGGTTGAGCAGCTGCCTATCTGTTCTTTGGGTGCAGATTCCTAAGGGGCTATCCTCTGCTGCCATTTTTTCACCTAGATGCAACACTCTTGGACCACAGCTGGAAGGAGGGAGCTACTTGGGACACAGTGAATTCTGGGAGGAACAGGTTTCACAAAGAAAGTCTTTTATGTGGGCTGAAAAGAGCCACCTTGGACTAGAGCACATGGACGTACGTACCCCACATCCCTCATCTGATGATTCAGAAGACAGTGCATCAGGGACTGAGGGTAGGGAGGGCTCTTGACTCCACCAAACACAGTGTGCTGAGTGACCGCCCAGTGCAAACTGACCACTGGAACTGGGATCATGTCCACCAAGAGCAGATTGGAGGGAGAGACTCAGACCGCACCCAAGTGGGCAGCGGAGAGCCAAAGACAGTCCACTCATCTTATTTTTTGACAAACACTGAAGATGACAGTAAGCTGAATCACTGGCTGAGAATAGATAGAGGGAACACATGAGGTACTCTATTAGGAAAAAATGCTGCCATGCAGGAGAAAGACAGACATCTGGAAAATTTCAAGAAGGACACACGTCCCAGTGTGATTTAATTCAGTATCCAGGAGAAAATGTCAGAAAACTTTGTCATCTTCAACAAATAAACGGAAATAGGCTTTATGAAACAGAAGCAGGAAGGAGAGAAGGGTTTACATAATAATAACTCGTGGTACACTCACATGGGGGCTGCCTGGGAGGATTTGGGTTTTGTTTTGAATGTCATTGCTGAGCCCAATGCTGGGTACAGGGTAGTCACATAATAAACATAAATGACAATCAGCAAATATTAACCGAATTTGTCTCTGGGTAGAAAAGTTTCCAGTGATATTTATTTTCTTTCTATTGTTTTATTGTATTTTCTAAAATTTCTGTAAAAAATGTGACATGCTTTTGAAATAAGGGGGAAATGAATACAAATTAAGTGACTTCCTATTCCCATTGACCTCTATTAACATGGATGCTAAATAGCCTCCTGGGAAAGAACTCTAATAGTACCAAGATTCTGGTACCAACATTATCTCCATGCACATCTGTTAACTGGATGGAAATAACCCAGTGGAATGAAAGCTCTAGAAAGGATAGGAATCCATAGAGGGAGAATGTACCTTGGGAAAAAGAAATCTGCTGTCATGAGCCAGGCTTGGTGATAGCACCTGAGGATTGGGGGAAGGGGGCCAACAATACCACATGAGGTGGGCACCACCTAAACATAGAGTGCTGGGGAAACTTTCAGGAGCATGGCAAAGACCTAGAGTGGAGACAAGGACCATTGTCCTATCAGGAAGTAATAGCGACAGTGGCGACATAGATGGTGTGGACCCAAGAAAATGGGTCAAAGGCGCTACTGAGAGCCGTAAGCCAGAGCAGGGAAGGTGTTGGGGAACGGAGGTGGCCAGAGGAGCACCAGTGCCTGTAGGAACGTGAGCCATGCCGGGGGCCTGAGCAACAGCTCAAAAGCCAGCATCACAAGGCTCGCATCCCAACCCAGGACAACACAGCATCAATGGCAGGGCTTTAGTGAAACAGAGAGCATGGCCCAGGGAAAGTAATGGCAGCAGGATGGCCCTGATCTAATTACCAAGGAGACAGACTGGTGTCATTTATGGAAGCAATGGAACACCACTGAGGAACCCTGTAGGGACGGAGGTCCTGTCATTAAATAGGAGAGCCCACGGAGCTTATATATCCAGGACATTTCTGTTAAAAAGACTCCTTCTCCACCCAGAGACAGGGTATACCTAATGATATTTGAGTTATACAAGCAGTAAAACATATTGAAGGGGAAATCAAAGGAAAGAATATTTTCAATGGCTCCCCTACTCTCTATGCCACTTTGCCCAGTCTCCTAAATTTGTCAATGAGGACATTTGTGAGTTGACCCCATTCTATTTCCTGAACTTTTCCCCAGTAGTGTAATGCTATCAGACTCTATTGCTCAACCCATGTGGGTTCCAGAGCTTGATGAGGAAGATCCTCCCAGATCCTTTGTTAATGAGCTTCCCTATCTGAATCCTGGCCTCAGTGAGTTTGCAAATACAATGCAGAAATGAGTTAAGTCCTGGAGCTAAAGCAACTCCTTTCATCGGACTTTGTACATTTCTCCATGTAAGTACAAAACATCAGATTAACCCAGGTACCAGTGGACCTTGGTAGAGCAAACATCTCCAGATGGCACCCGGAGACAACAAGCTGGAAAGCTCAAGGGATCACTCCACCCTGCTTAGGAATGTGCTCTATAGTTAAGCCTTGGTTCTACTTTAGCCCTTGGAATCTAAAATCTGCTGGTCTCCCCACCCCATGGTGGTCTGCCTGCAATGTTTACATGTGGGTTCCCTGACTATCCCCAGCACTCACTCTTGTCTCAGCAGCAAGCTAAACCTCACAAATTCAAGAACCACAGTGAACTCAAGTATCAGCTGAGTATTGAAGGCTTCCTGGAGTGAAGGGGGTCTGGAGCCTCAAAGTGGTCAAGGGAGTGTCCAGGCACCATGTGGACATATGATTCCCAGGCCCCTCCCGGTGGGGAAGTGGTCCTGTGCTGCCTTCCAGACCTCTCTCCAAGCTACTTTCTTATCAAAGCCCTGGAGGAATAGTGATTTTTTTATCCTGTGTTCACATAGCACATTCTCTTTATCACCTCTTGCGGCCTTTTCCTGGTCTTTTGTATTTTTCAAGCACTGTATGATTGTTTTAGTCAGCTTCTTTACTGCTGTGGCCAAAAGACCTGATAATAACAATTTTAGAGGAGGAAGAGTTTATTTGAAGTTCAGTTTTAGAGGTATCAGCCCATGCCTGGTCAACTCCATTACTCTGGTCCAAAGGTGACACAGAACACCATGGCAGAGGGCATTGAAGAAAGCAGCTCAGGACATTGTACCAGGGAGTAGAGAAAGAGAAAGCTTCCCACATCATGGGTAAACTATAAACCCCAAAGGCACCCCCCTATTGACCCAGCTCCTCCCTCTGCACCCTACCTGCCTAGAGTTACCACCCAGTTAATCCCTACCAGGGGATAAATGTACTGGTTAGGTTAAGGCTCTCATAACCCAATTGTTTCAGCTCTGAAACTTCTTGCATTGTCTCACACATGAGCTTTTGGGGGACACCTCATATCTAAGCCATAACAATGATGAAAATTTAAAGACACCTACAATATTTAGAATAATACATAGAACACCCCTATTTCCTCCAGACACTTAGACTCCAGAGTTGTCCACGCCCAACCCTGCTCTCCAGCCCTCACCTCCATGACCTCTCAAGGACCTCTCTTTCCGGTTGGGAGCATGGAGTTGTGCAGCCCAGGTGTGTCTGGCCCAAGACCCCACCACCACATATTCCTCTCTTCCAGGCACTCCTTTATGACCTTCAGGTCTGGCACAGGCCCCAGAGGCAATTCAGGAATTTCAGAAGTTTATTTCCCAACTAAAATATAAACTGAATCTTTAATATTTTCTATGTCTTGATCGTGTGACAGGCATGGTCTAATTACATTTTTACTTATTCTTTCTATATCTATGATCGTTGGAGGATGTGTGGAAAAATTCTAATTTAGTAGCTTGCATTATTCTAACTGTCTTCTCTTTTAGAAATGTATTTGAATGCTTTATCTCCACAACATCGAGGGAGCAGCAAATGTGATCCTTTCAACTAAAAAAGAATGTGCCTGTGACCTAACGGTGAAAATGACAGGAAGCTAGCTTCTGGCTGTGTACCTGAAAGGTTTTTCATGATTATGAGAAAGAAAGATAAATTGACATGTTTTAAAAAATAG